ACTTCAGGCTGTACTTGACGTCTGTTTGCGACAATTTTCCTGGAGAGTTTTTGGTGGAAAAAAAAATTGACGTAAAGAAACATTGTATGTAATACGTAATGTCTTTCCAAACAATCAACTGAGTCGCTTTACGGTGATTAGGGCAAATTTGTGTTGATATATATAAGTTGTAATTAAACTTATTTATTTATTTACTCACTATGAATATAGTTGCAGCATTGGTATCCTTATCATCAAGCTCAACAGTAAATAATGCATCCTAATATATAATATACATAAACTTATGCAACGCTAGATAATTAGGATTTCCTAGCTCGTTGTTTTTTGGTTTTTTTTAACCCAAAGCCACAATAGGTTATCAGCGCTCTGTCCATTGCGGATAATCGAACCCCAAATGTTAGTGTTGTAAGCCAGCAAACTTACCGCTGACTCATCGGGAAACATGCGATAATAAAGTATGACCTTTTCCTGTTGTTCGATTGAAACGTCATACTGTTTTATTGTTATCAGAATAATTCATGACTGAGAAATACGTAAGCAGAAATAGTCACAATAAGAATTGACTCAACCTTCTTTGTCTAACATAAAATGGGCGAATGTGTGGCGGTAGCCTTCTAAATAATGTACTATATTTTATGTAGAAATAACTTAGCATTTATTACTGTTCCGAACAACTTTGTGTATCGTTAATATTGAATATTAGTTTAAATTATAGCAATCAGCGCTAACAAAATTAGGAGGTTTCATGGTCTGACTGGAAGAGCATTCTACTGCTGTGTATAGACTTAATAAGTCTAATGTCAATGGCTGCACCTGCGACCGTTTCAGAATCACAGTGCGCGAGTTGTAGCTCAGGATGACTATCAAAGACTTATTACCCTCCCATTTACTTGAGATAGCTATTGCATATATAAGGACTTATACTGATATGGTAATGTCATGTATACTGAGGAAGTCAAGTGATTGGCCTAATACGGTAATGCCTCATGTATTGAAGAAGTCAAGAGACTGGCCTGGTGTGGTAACACCACATGTACTGAGGAAGGCAAGTGATTGGCCTGATGTGGCAAGCCACATGTAACGAGGAAGGCAAGTGATTAGCTTGATGTGGTAACGCTACATGTACTGAGGAGGTTAAGAGACTTGCCTGATGTGATAATGCCACACGTACAGAGACAAATCAAGAGACCTACCTGACGATGTCACGCGCACATAGAAACCAATAAAAAGGTTGATCTGGTTTTGTCGCATATATTAAGAAATTCCACGAATTACCTTAGTGATGTCATGTATACAATGAACATGAAAAGGTCCAGAGGATTGACCTCATCGTACACTAAGTCTGTTCGGAGGTTGCACTGGGAATGTTCCCATGCAAAAAAAAGTTCTGAAATGTGACCTGTGGTATTCGGAGATTGACTTGGTGATGTCATTCACACATAAAAAGTACAGGTACTGACACCTGTGGTATTCGGAGGTTGACTTGGTGATGTCATTCACACATGGAGATTGACTTGGTGATGTCATTCACACATAAAAAGTACAGATACTGAAACCTGTGGTATTCGGAGGTTGACTTGGTGATGTCATTCACACATAAAAAATACAGATATTGACACTTGTGGTATTCGGAGATTGACTTGGTGATGTCATTCACACATAAAAAGTACAGGTACTGACACCTGTGGTATTCGGAGGTTGACTTGGTGATGTCATCCACATATAAAAGTACAGATATTGACACTTGTGGTATTCGGTCGCTGGTAACCATCCTACATTATAAACAAGTAAACGTCCCCCAGCTTCGCACAGCAATGAAACCTAAACAACATATTATAGTTTTGTATAACAAGAGAATTTGATCAATATCTCTAAAATTTGTATAGCAAAGAAATGTAAACAACGCCTACCTCTGTGTGGAAAAATGGACGTGAACAGCAGCTCGTAGCTTCACCTAGTAAGGAGACTTAAGCAACATCTCTAAGATTCACGTAGTAAAAGGACATAACTATTATCCCCAGCTTCTTGTAACAGAGGGGGGGGCGTAGTAGGGGTACTTAAGCAACATCTCTAAGATTCACGTAGTAAGAGGACATAACTAGCATCCCCAGCTTCTTGTAACAGAGGGGAGGGACGTAGTAGGGGTACTTAAGCAACATCTCTAAGATTCACGTAGTAAGAGGACATAACTAGCATCCCCAGCTTCTTGTAACAGAGAGGGGGACGTAGTAGGGGTACTTAAGCAACATAACTCAGCTTCACATAACAAGGGGATCTGAACAACATGGTCTAACTTTGTGTATCAAGTGAATCTAAACAACATCGTACATTTTGTGTAGCAAGAAATTATAAATACCATCGTCTAGCTTTGCGTAGTATAGGAGGAACTTGAACAACATCAGCCAACTTTGTGTATCAAGTGAATCTAAACAACATCGTACATTTGGGGTAGCAAGAAATTCTAAATACCATCGTCTAGCTTTGCGTAGTACAGGAGGAACTTGAACAATATCAGCCAACTTTGTGTAGCAATGGAATCTAAACAACATCATACATTTTGGGTAGCAAGAAATTCTAAATACCATCGTCTAGCTTTGCTTAGTATAGGAGGAACTTGAACAACATCAGCCAACTTTGTGTAGCAAGGGAATCTAAACAATATTGCCCGACTTTATGTAGCAAGGGGTCTATACAACATTAATTTACTTTCAAACATCAATAACTGCTACACTATGCTACTCCGTTGTATGACGGATATCAATTTAAGTTACAAAAGGGTACGTTAATTACATGCTGCTTTCATGACAAAAGTCCGAAGAAATGCACCAAACTTTGAAGTGTCCAGTGCTGTCTCGAAAATTTTATAACGAAGTTAACGAGCTTTTTTTGTTCTTAAATCAGAGTTTCTGATCGAGATATCAAGTCTGCGAAAGACATTGAGTTCTTACGATAAATTCAGCAGACAGAAAAGGGAGAGAGAGCATGCTCGCTTTATCTGTATTCTCAATTCTGCCAAGTCAGCAGAAAAATGAAAAGAAATGACCCCTATTATCTTTGCTCTCTCGAAATGCTCCTTATTATAGCCTTCTATTTCAAGTATTAAGCAAAGATAATAAATAAATATAAAGAAAGATCGCTGCTCTTAGTATGTGCTTTAATTATGTTTAAAAAATGGGCACAACGTTTTCAAATAATTTTGCAATTACAAACAACAACAGTTCCTCAATCATTAAAATTGAATTACGTCTTTCAGAAGCTACAATAATTATACTGTCGACAGTTTTTCCTATTATCCTATTAACAACCTGGTAGATAAAAACATGAGTTAAACGGGAACCAAGCCTAATTTCCAGCAAACCTACTCAATGAGCGTTAACGAAAAGAGCGAAGAGCTTGCACGAAAACACGAGACACTGCTAACTTCTTTATTAGGTTTACATATTCGAATGCCAGAGAATTTCAATCATTAAAACTGAAGAATATATTGAGCATTAGTTTTATGCTACTTTGTGCATGACAAAAAAATCAAAACCAAGTTATAAATTCAATGTTAATTGCAGACAAACCTTTAATTGATAATATTTCTAACAAAAGACGAAAATCGACAGCTACATATCTGGTCACTATAGTAGCAAGCTTTTTTCCTCGTAATTGTTTTTCAAAATTATAATGCAAAGCTATCAGCCCATAGCCTTCTATAATCTTGAGCTGATAGACTAGACGGAAGGCAGCTGGTCAAAAGCGCCCCCCGTCAACATTTGAGGTACGGTTTTCTTATTAAGTAGTAGGATTTGATCGTCATATTTATATCGTCCTACGGTTTTAAAGTGCGAAGCGTGATGTTGTGGCAACGGGTTGCGAACCATGAATTATTGGATTCAAAATCTGAGTAGCGAGTTGAAGTGATGTAATTAGTTCTGTTATGCCTCGAGTTGAAGTGATGTAATTAGTTCTGTTATGCCTCGAGTTGAAGTTATGTAATTAGTTCTATTATGCCTCGAGTTGAAGTTATGTAATTAGTTCTATTATGCCTCGAGTTGAAGTTATGTAATTAGTTCTGTTATGCCTCGAATTGTAGTGATGTAATTAGTTCTGTTATGCCTCGAGTTGAAGTGATGTAATTAGTTCTGTTATGCCTCGAGTTGAAGTGATGTAATTAGTTCTGTCATGCCTCGAGTTGAAGTTATGTAATTAGTTCTGTTATGCCTCGAGTTGAAGTTATGTAATTAGTTCTGTTATGCCTCGAATTGAAGTGATGTAATTAGTTCTGTTATGCCTCGAGTTGAAGTGATGTAATTAGTTCTATTATGCCTCGAGTTGAAGTTAAGTAATTAGTTCTATTATGCCTCGAATTGAAGTGATGTAATTAGTTCTGTTATGCCTCGAGTTGAGGTGATGTAATTAGTTCTGTTATGCCTCGAATTGAAGTGATGTAATTAGTTCTGTTATGCCTCGAGTTGAAGTTATGTAATTAGTTCTATTATGCCTCGAGTTTAAGTTAAGTAATTAGTTCTATTATTCCTCGAATTGAAGTGATGTAATTAGTTCTGTTATGCCTCGAGTTGAGGTGATGTAATTAGTTCTGTTATGCCTCGAGTTGAAGTGATGTAATTAGTTCTGTTATGCCTCGAGTTGAGGTGATGTAATTAGTTCTGTTATGCCTCGAGTTGAAGTGATGTAATTAGTTCTGTTATGCCTCGAGTTGAAATGATGTAATTAGTTCTGTTATGCCTCGAGTTGAATTTATGTAATTAGTTCTGATTTAAAACTTATAAGCTTCATAAGAAATTTAGTTCATATCAACGTCACTAAAATATTCAACTTTAATTTTTTTCAAACGAAACCTTTCAAACTCGTACTAATACTATACTCACAATTTCTTATTGATAATCCAATTTTACTTATCATTTTATAGATTAAACATGAAATTAACGCTAAAGAAAAGCTAGTAGTTAAATGCGATGGAGATAAACTAACGAGTGTTTTATTTCTGTTTACAGGAAATGCGTTATTCTAGGACTTGTCTGGCTGTGGGCTGTCTTTTAATATGGATATGCTGTTGCTGCACACCAGTTCGACCATTTTCCCGTGCTTACCTGGACATGGTAGAGGATCTTAAATCAGACATGATGATGCCCTTCAACGGTGACAAGCATGTTGAAGCCAGTATGATAGATTTCAATCGGATCCGAAACAAAATGAAACAAGATAATAAAAGGACAGGTGAGGATAAGAAATAACGTGTTAAACAGTAGGCCTCAGAGGCTTTGTATATTATAAGCTTTATATATATTTTAAAACACTTGAGAAATATAATTACAAATACTTTTAAAACAGCACTAAATCATTCTCTCAAAGTATATCAGAAGCAGGTAAAGCTTATTATGAGTCAGTTTGTTGGTTGTTTATAAGCACAAAGTTGCACAATGAGCTACCTGTGCTATGCCCACCACGGATATCGAAACCCTGATTTTAGACTTACAGCTGAGCCACTAGGAGGCTTATTTGTCAGAATAAGACGTGTTCATATGTGTAACGCCTAACACAATATTAAGGAAATGTTACCATCTTATCAGTTAAATAATTCTTTACTATATGGTAATTTGTATTTTAACATGTTCCCCCAAACTGTTCGAAATCCTGACGCTGTATTGAAAACCGCAATATCTATTTTTCAATTAAATTCTTTTTGAATACTTTCTACTTTTGTTAACTAATCAAATTCGTAAGTTAATATTTATGGAAGTAATTCAAAAATACTTAAAAAAATATTTTAACAATAATTGAGCGTTTAAAAGACAGTACAAATTCAACAGTTATCTTTCAATAAACTATGAGAGTTAAAGTAACCGTGACAAAACTTATGTAAGCGTCGTGTTGATTGGCCGCCTTCACTCTCTTCTACCACTTCCAAATAAGGGATAGCTGACGCAAATAGCTTTCGAGTAGTTTTGCGCCAAATTCAACGTATCACGTGAATTATTGCGCTAATACTCCGCACGTATGATATACAAGGTGATTTGACACCAAACGCTCAGTTTAATAACGACTAGTTATCTTATTTTCACCCAACACTGTTTTACAAATACGATACTTCAAGGCTAGCCTTATAACCTGAGCCACCACTTCATTAATTTTAACTACATAATGACAACACATCAGGATCTGTGCTGCTGAATAGTTAATATAGCTTTGATATTTTCAATATACATGCATGTAGCATCATTTACTCCTTGTCATATCGGTTATTGTTTAGAGATGTATTGTTTAGTCGTTTAAACTAGTACAATAGCTTAATGTTCACCTTCTAACAATCGTTATCAAAGCTAAATGTACCAAATCAGAAGCGTCAGAAGTACAGTTCAACCATATAATGGACAATGCACCATTCCAAAGAGACGGAAGAGAATTTTGATCTTATAAATAAATGAAAATTAACAATTAACCCGTAGATAAATATCATACGGACATTTCACTATGTTTTATACTAACTAAAATAATATGTTACTTCAAAAGAAAGAAGAATGAACAAATCGAGCTATTGATACAAAGTGTCTTACTCGTAGCGTAATTGTTTGTTTGTTTTGGAATTTCGCGCAAAGCTACACGTGGGCTATCTGCGCTAGCCGTCCCTAATTTAGCAGTGTA